CAGGGCAACTCTGCCAGCTTGCCCCGAATGCCCCCCAAGCCTTTGCCACTGCAGTCCTGAAGCTGCAGGGAGGTGTCAGGCAGCTGTTCTAGAGGGGAGGTGCCTCTGCAGGTGGGACCCCTGTGGCAGAGCTGGCTTTCCATGGGGGAAGTGGGTCTTTCTGATGCTAGCAGCAATGGCCCCTTGGCTGGCAGTTCTCCGATCTCCCCTCTGGCTTGCCCTGCTTCTCCTGCCACCCAGGCGCTGACTTCCAGAATAGCGGTTATTTCAGAAGAGATGGTTAGTCCTAAGAACGAGGCAGAAACTCAAAAGTGCCCCGCCTTGATTTTGTTGGTATAAAGTGGGGCAGACAGGAACTCCAACAGGCCTCGTTGTGCTCTAGGAACAGCAAGTGTTGGAATCCTGGCGGCGCCTGTTTCTTGGCCTGGCCTACCTCAAAGGGCTGGCGGCAGCAAGAGAAGGGGGATAGGTCCTCCGGGGCAAATAGCCTTGAGACCAGGCCCTCAGGAGCCTCGGGTGGCAACGGGCATGGGGCCGGAGCCGTCTGCTGTGACAGGCTCAGTGCTGGGGGGAAGTGAGCAGACTGTTTCTGCTGCCATGGCGGTGGGCAGGGGACGGGCTGAGCGTGCCCACCGCCAAGGGTTAGCGAGCATCTGCGTGAGCAGGACATGCAGAAGCGCTCTGGGTTCAGTCTGTTGTTGGAATTTAAGGGTGGTGGTCCCTGCCTCCAAAGCTTTGAGCCTTTTGAATGGGGGGGGTCTCTTCAGCAACTTGGGGGTCCCTAATTTTGCACCCCCCACCTCCTTTCAGTTCCAGAGCTAAACATTTTGAACAAACAGTCCCTCAAGATCCACGTGGTGGAGGCTGGCAAAGAATTTGGCGTGCTGATGGTGTTCTGGGTAGGGAAGGGGTCCCTGGGGACGGGCAGAGAGCGAGGGGGCAAGTGCAGTGCTGATCTGGAGCAGCCCTGCTGAAGAGCTTCTGGCTGTGCTGCCTGGGAACGATGGGAGTTGTAGTCCAGGACCGTCGGTGCTCTCTCCGGCACACCCTGCTCACCCCTCCCAAAGGCTGCCGGGCGGGAGGGAGGGCGGCAGCCGGGTACAAGGCCTGAGCGTGACGACCTGTGGCTCGCCTTGCACCCACAGACACCGTTCCGGGGAGCCCGGAGGCCAGACCAGCCACCCTGCCCTTCCTCACTTTTCCCCTCCCCACCCCTCCCCCCTGCAGGAGCTTTCGGTACTGCTGCCCCACGTTTCCCTGGAGCTGCTCTTTGTGGGGGATACATTGCCCCCCGAGTTGGACGGCCAGCAGTTCCTTTTGCAGAGGGATGTGAGTCTGCCTCCCCTCTGTTTATCCCCGGGGGCGTCCTTCTTTCTGCCCCCTCCACACTCCAGGGAGAGGGGCCCAGTCCTGGTGTGTGGGTCTTAAGCGCCCCTCCACTTCTTCTTCAGGCTGATTTGGTTGGGGATGAGGCATCTCCCGCTCTCTGGCTGCCTTCAGGCTTCCTCCACTGGGTGCGAATGATCCCTGCTCTCCCTCCCCCCGCTCTCTCTCAGTTATATAGA